CAGCATGATTAATATTCACAATAAAAATATTAGCCGAACATCATGAAGTCTGTATGTGTTTCATAGTGTCGAACAACCTTCGTACAGTTAAAGCCAGCAGTTACTACATGACGGAAACACCAACGTTATCTCTTTTATGTGTTTATACACAGGTCACGTTGATTACTGAACAAAAACCCAAAGATCAGATGTTAAACAGGTTTATTTGCTCTCTCTCCTCCTTAAACATGTTTTTAATGTTAGTTATAATTCAGACTGAAACACGTAGGACACATAAGAACTTCAGGAAATAAAACACCGATAAATATAACCTCAGTAAAAGAAGTCAGCGGGGGTTACTACAGCTGTGTACCGGGGCCTGCGCTTTGTCGGTGGGATTGCTTGCGAGGCGAGCGGGTCTATCCCACGCTTTGCCGTGAGACTGGGCAGACGTCTCCGAAATCATCGAAACACTTTTGCAAAGAGGCTGTATCTTGACAAACCGACCAGACACATGAAGATTAAACCACTACATTCTCGGCTAAAAAAATATTAAAACGGTATTTGGTAACACACAAACAGGGTTTTTCAAAGCTCAGTTCTGTTAGCTTCCACATGCCGGTTGTTGTGTGCTAGAAACAATGGCCACCAGGCCAAAGCAATGGTTTTGACTCGATCAGCGTTAGCCCCGCCCCTGAGTTTGATGGGTGAGGCTGACAGATAAAATTATTTCATGATGAGAGCCAGGCGTCAGGACTGCCAAAATGAAATAAATAAATATATCATTAAATAATTAATTAAATGTGTCAATAATTAATTAAATGTGTCAATAATTAATTAAAATGTGAAATACATAAATAATTAATTAAATGTGTCAATAATTAATTAATTAAATGTGTCATAACTATTTATTTAATTAATTAATTCCAATTTTAATTAATTATTGACACATTTAATTAATTATTTAATGGTGTATTTAATTAATTCATTATGGCAGTCCTGGCGTTCCATACAAGATGAGCGTTGACCTTGTCTTGGTTCCAAAAAACGGACCAAGAGTTTACCGCCACCTGGTGGCCATTAGACAGAATGCCGGTTTAAGGCGGCTCCTCGTGCGCCTACTTGTCCGACCCTGGAGCGACGTCGATGTTTTAAACTGTCTGTGGCTGGAAGCTGTTTTAAATAAAGGTCTATTTGAATCTCAGACCACGTGCTGGAGGCTCTGCTGAACACGTCGGTGCATCTGGACTCTCTGGAAAAGGACACGGTTCTGGAGGAACGATGGATTAAAGAGGTGGTGACACGGTCAGGGATGAAGTTCAGATGGGCCAAACTGAGCGCGAGCAGAGAGCGACCCAACAGGGACGCCTGCAGGAGGTGACAAGAAGTCTCTGATCACGTGTATGTAACTCGTCACAGTGGTTTGTAACAAAATAAGGTTCTCCGTTACCTACAACCTTCACAGACCGCCTGCTGATCCCACCCTCCTGGTGCCACGGCCCCCGGTGGTCACCATCATGGGTCACGTGGACCACGGTAAGACGACGCTGCTGGACAGCCTGAGGAAGAGCCAAATCGTCTCCACAGAGGCCGGAGGCATCACGCAGCACATCGGGGCTTTCCTGGGTAACAGCACGCTCTAAACTTTATTTAAAAACACCCAACGACAGGAAACGAAACAAGATTTTTTTTTTAAAGACAAACTTTAAGAGCAAACAGAAGAAAATGTAATTAAATCATAAAATCTGTCACCAGACTCTGCTGATCGATTATTGAATGTTGTTTTAATAAGCAGCGTTTGCAGGTTTGTGCTCGTTTACAGACAGTAAACTTTTTCCTGAAGCTTCGTTCCCGCTCTCGGATCTTTTCTTCCAGTCCAGCTGCCGACAGGTGAGAAGATCACCTTCCTCGACACGCCGGGCCACGCCGCCTTCTCCTCCATGAGAGCCCGTGGAGCCAACGCCACCGACATCGTCGTTCTGGTGGTGGCAGCTGATGATGGCGTCATGAACCAGACGGTGGAGTCCATCGAGCATGCCAGGAGAGCCAAAGGTGGGAGCTCCACCTGACAGTCGCAGCCGAGGGCTCAGAGCGAAGCGTCGCCCCGTTTCTACTGCTTTTACTGGATTTCTATTCATTTTGTTTTTATGCTCTTCTACTGCTGATTCTACTGTTCGTCCGTGTTTCAGTCCCCGTGATCGTGGCGGTGAATAAGTGTGACAAGCCTCACGCCGACCCTCAGAGGGTGAAGCAGGAGCTGCTCGCTCACGACGTTGTTTGCGAGGAGTTCGGGGGAGACGTTCAGGCGATTCACATCTCTGCTCTGAAGGTGAACTCATCAAACAACACATCGCGTTGTTTTCCCACAATGCAATGCACAAAGAACATTCCTATTGGTCAGTTAGTACAACAGACAGGTTAAAGGTAAAGTAATGAAAGCAGTTAATATGGCTTCCTTAAAATATGAGATCATTACAGTCGACCTGTTGTTGCTGTAGACCAATGATGTCATTGATGACGTTGTCAGGGTGATAACCTTCTGGCTCTGACTGAGGCCACAGTAGCTTTGGCAGAGGTGTTGGAGCTAAAGGCGGAGCCTACCCGCCCCGTGGAGGGACTCGTCATCGAGAGCAGGACCGACAAAGGCAAAGGGTAAGTCCTTCACAGTGCTAACTCTGGTTTACTGGAAACATGAAAGAGTCAAACAGGCCCAGTGTGACCAGTTTGGTCTTCCCAGCCCGGTCACGACAGCCATCGTCCAGCAGGGGACGCTAAAGAGAGGCTGCGTGCTGGTTGCTGGGAAATCCTGGGCTAAAGTTCGCTTCCTGTTTGATGAGAACGGCTGTGCTGTGAGGGAGGCGGGGCCGAGTACTGCGGTGGAGGTGGTTGGCTGGAAGGAGCTGCCGTCAGCTGGAGAGACCATCCTGGAGGTGGAGTCTGAGGTGAGTGGGATATAAACCGGGTCCGCCCAAATGAAATCACTTCACATGAAATAGAATAAATGTTTTATTAAACAATAAATCGACAGAGGTTGTGTTCATCTCAGCGGATGCTTCGCCTACAAGAAAAAAGGAGAAATATTAAGTTTGCGTTAAAAATCTCTTCAGAACATTTCGCTGCGATGTTCGTTTTCTGCCTCCTCTTTGCAAACTTTGCTCTTCGTTGTTTTTTGCTCTGGTTTTAAATTTTGGGAAATTTAAATAAAAATCCAGACTGGATTGTTGGTGGTTGGTTTCCTTCGTGGGTCAGAGATGACCATTTCCTGTCAGTCCCTTCCACAATAAAAGCTTTCCTCCTTTGGCTCCTGCAGCAGCGAGCGCGGGAGGTGGTGGAGTGGAGAAGTCACGATGAGGAGCAGCGGAAACTGCAGGAGGAGCAGAGCGCGATCGAGCAGAAGCAGAAGCTCCACCTGGAGGAGTACCGCAGGGAGAGGGAGGGGCTGTCCCACCTGAGCTGGAGGCAGAGGAAGGTGGCGCTTTACCGGGCCAACAAGACCCGCTTTGCCACGAGGCCCAGCGAGAGGATGCAAAGCGACCAGCTCAGCCTGCCGCTCATCATCAAAGGTACGCACTGAGCCAGCTTCAAACAGGCTCCGCCCACTGTGATGTCACTAACTGAACAACCGTTGACCCAGGTGACGTGGATGGCTCGGTGGAGGCCATCCTGAACATCCTGGACAGCTACGACGCTCAGCAGTGCGAGCTCGAGGTGGTCCATTTCGGCATAGGAGACATCTCTGAGAACGACGTCAACATGGCCGAAATGTTTGGAGGTACGAGCAAAGGACGCCATTCCAGATGTTTTTATTCATTTTGTGTGCAGCAGATTCTTCTGACCGCCGGCTGGTTTAGTGTGATTTCATGATGGGATTAAAGCTGAGAGCAGAGAACGCCTTCTTACAGAGTGTCTATGAATGCATCACAGGGTACCTGAGTTTAAAATAAATAATAAATCTCCTGCTCCACCTTCAAACATCGTGTGGACTGTCCTGACTGGCTGCGTCTCGCCATCAGGCTCCATCTATGGCTTTAACGTGGCGGCGAGCCGTGGCATCGAGCAGCTGGCAGCGAGGAAAGGCATCCCGCTGCGCCTGCACAGCGTCATCTACAAGCTGGTAGATCAGCTGAAGGAGGAGCTCAGCGCCAAACTGCCACCACTCGTCTCAGAGAACATCACAGGTGAGTCGGCACCACACGGTCATGTGACCACAGCTGAGCTCAGGTGGAGCGGAGGCGTATCAGTGAGATCAAAGTCAGCGTTTCATCCCTGCTAAATCACCATGGTAACAGGTAGCATCAGCATCTTAATTTTACCGCCTTACGGCCACCAGGTAAACGCGTCTCCATCTGACGCTTCTACCGTTGTTTTAAATCATCATCATCTGATTGGAGCACGTGACGCTCAGAGCTCATTTAATGAGGAAAACAGAAGCAATGTGAGCACGCTCAGAGTGCGGAGCAGAGGCAAGATCTGCATATGTTCATTTTGTTTCTAGCCACACCCCCTTAGGTCACATGTCAGAGGAAGATGAACCTGTGATGTCAGTCACACATATCCTGTTCCCCCCGGTGCAGGTGAGGCGTCGGTCGTCGCCATGTTTGACGTCACCGTGGGAAAGAAGAAGGTTCCCGTGGCCGGCTGTCGGGTTCAGAAAGGTCAGCTGGACCGACGGTTCAGGTTCAGGTTGATCCGAGGCCGGGACACCGTGTGGGAGGGTGAGTGAGACCGGAGCTGGGGTCAAGCAGCAGGACTGGACCGTGTTGTTCTAACGTTCTCCTGATGTTCCCGCAGGTTCTCTGGCAGCACTGAGGCACCACAAAGATGACGTGCAGACGGTGAGGGCGGGCATGGAGTGCGGCCTATCGGCTGACGGCGACGTCGACTTCAGAGCCGGTGATATCGTCGTGTGCTTTGAGGAGGTGGCGGCGCCGCAGGTCACTTCCTGGGACCCCGGCTTCTGAACTCCCATCATGCACTGCTGCGCAGCGCTTCTATCACAGACTCTCAGACACAGATGAACCTGATGTTTAGTTTCAGACGTTTATTGAAAACTGAACAGGAAGTGGTTAAATTCAAACTGAAGCACAGACGTGTGTGAACATCCTGCTTTCTGACTGGACAGAACCTCTAATAAAATATACGTGTGATTGTCTGAACCAATCAGGAAGCTCATCAGGAAAGAGTAAATGTTGTCTGTGATTAATATTCTCGCACTCGACGGAACGCTGAACACTCCGCTTTCAGCGTTCCATCTCATTTCTTCTTCTTGGGCTTTGTCGGTTTGGCGAGCAGCAGCGGGTCGATCTCATCTGCACTCAGTCCTCTGATGGCGAAGAGTCGAGCAGCGCGCTCCGACGGCGTTCCCCCACACTTCAACCCACGAGACATCAGTTCTTTTTTCAAGACGTCCAAACCCAGAGACTCCAGCTGCTCGACAGACGCCACCGAGAGCAAATCCAGCTGCTGAAGAACAACAAGATAAGATAAGATAACCTTTATTAGTCCCACATGTGGGAAATTTGTTTTGTCACAGCAGGAAGTGGACAGTGCAAAAGTTATGAGGCAAAAATTAGAATACAATAAGAATAAATACAGTACACAGCTGTACGGAATAGAATAAAATAAAATATACAATAAGATAAAAATAGAATACAAATACTATATACAACTGAGTAAAAATACAACGATGACAGAAAGGATTATTGCACTTAGTATTATTGCATATGTATGGACAAGAGTTAATGATCGCAACATTTGACTACTCGAACACACTGCAGTGGTTTGTATCATATCTATCTAATAGACTCCAGTTTGTGCATGTAAATGGAGAGTCCTCTTCACACACTGAGGTTAATTATGGAGTTCCACAGGGTTCAGTGCTAGGACCAATTCTGTTTACATTATACATGCTTCCCTTAGGCAGCATCATTAGAAGACATAGCATACATTTTCACTGCTATGCAGATGACACCCAGCTCTATCTGTCCATGAAGCCAGACAACACACACCAATGAGTTAAACTGCAGGAATGTCTTAAAGACATAAAGACCTGGATGGCCGCTAACTTTCTGCTTCTTAATTCAGATCAAACTGAGGTTATTGTACTCGGCCCTGAAAAGCTTAGAAATATGGTATCTAAGCAGATTCTTACTCTGGATGGCATTACCTTGGCCTCCAGTAACACTGTGAGGAACCTTGGAGTCATTTTTGACCAGGACATGTCCTTCAACGCACATATTAAACAAATATGTAAGACTGCGTTCTTCCATTTAGCTCCAAAATTAGAAACTCCATAAAAACCTTCAGCAGATCCAAAATGCTGCAGCAGTAAGAAAACCTCCACAGCTCAGCGATGACATAATTCAGACTTTAAAATTAACCTTAAACGTCTCATCAGAAACTTTAACCCTGAAAATTTCAGACTTTATTCATCGGGTACACACCTGTTGAGACAGCTCGCTTGATTGTGATGGTTTGGACGGACCAGGATGGTTCTGGTCCTCTGACGGTGTCCCAGTCTGGTCTCTGGAGGTCTTCTCAGAGTCCCGGTCCTCTGACGGTGTCCCAGTCTGGTCTCTGGAGGTCTTCTCAGAGTCCCGGTCCTCTGACGGTGTCCCAGTCTGGTCTCTGGAGGTCTCCTTGGGGATCTGTGTGGTTCTGGTGCTTCCACTGTTTGAGGATGAAAGAAGACTCTTTCAGACATCGTTAAATGACGGTGGATCTGGTCCCTGGCGCTCTTTGGGCTTTACCTGCTACCCTCCTCTGCCTCTCTTCGTGTTGTCATGGTAACGATGGCAGCAGCAGTTTCACGGCTGGATGTGGACGGAGCCTCGTCATCATCTGAGCTCATCAGCTCGTCCATCTCCTCCAGCCCCGTCCTGTGAGCACAAGCATGATCAGTCAGTTTCACTCTGAACCTTCTCAGCTTCCCACATTTTGTTGCTAGGTAACAGACGATGCAGTTCCAACCAAATACAGCCGACAGAAGCTCACGTAAACGGACGCTGACCATCAGAGACGAGCTGCGAGCGCTTCAGCTGAACTCAGAACACACGAATCTGTGCTGGTGGTCGGTGAGGTCACTGGAGCTGCTGATAAAAGACTCTGTGATGTCAGCGGGCGCCAGGAAACCTGTTGACATCACAGTGCCCGCTGAGTTGATGGATTCACCAGAAATCACTGACACCCCACTTAACTGTTTTTCACCAAGCGTGACCTCACAGGATTCAACTGGTTTCATCGGTTGGGTTTCAGCCAATCAGAACCTCCCTGGCTGCTGACCTCATGTTTTTATTTGTCAGGGTGTGATGTTGCTCGCACAGCGAACGACCTGCCGTCTCGACAAGGACAATAATTGAGAATAATTTGCCTTTCAGAAGCTCGCTGTAGCTCAGAGCCGCCGGCGGCGTTCTTGTCGTTCCCTGTCTGAGTGATCGCGTAACAGCTGCCATGTTCAACTCTTCCTGTCATTAACGACTCACCAGAAGCACCCCCCTCCTCCTGCTGTCTTCGTCTTCTTCTTCGCAGGCTGCTCACTCTGATCACAGTTCAGCCTCTTGGCGCCGCACATGTCGTCCACCTTCACCTGGCTGCTGGAGGAAGCCTGCAGACCTGCAACAGGAAACACACCTGGCATCAAACACGTGCAACCTCGCGCTCTCACCATGCGAGCTGTGCAGCGCGGCCAACCTCTGAGCACCGAGTCCTCGAGTCGCTCGGACAGGTCGTGGCACTGCTGCTGGTACTCTGCGTCGGTGAACTGGTGTTTGGGCTCATTGAGCTTCCTCTGCAAGCGCTCCAGACGCCGCTGCTCCTTCTCTGCCTCGCGCTCCGCTTGCTTCTTCAGCCAGTCCGCCATCCTGCCGCACCACAGAAGAACAGACATGTCACTGCAGTGAGCACTGGCCGCTCACAATCAGACTCTACCCACAAACTGCAGGAGGAAGTGACCTCGACGGTGGGATAGATTGTTTGACAGGTGTGTTGCTGGCCCAACGTCACAGTGCTTTGAGCTTACAGCAGCAGCTGCTGCAGAGCAGATGTTTGAGGTGAATCATCATCAATAATTAACCTGAATATTTTACATCAACTGTAGAAAATTCACCTTTCAGAGTTTTTCTGGTGTTTTAAAGCTCGTTTTCAGACACTTGAAATTTAAGTGCGCTCACCTGGACAACACCTTGGACACTGCTGTATAAATAACATTCAAAGTGTTTCTGTTCTCATCATGTTTTATGTGCAGCCATCAAATCGTATTATTATTATTATTATTATTATTATTATTATTATTATCATCATCATCATCATCATCATCATCATCATCAAATCTGTTAAACTGGCTCCAAACATCTCAATACGTTTACTGCCAACGTGACAGCAAACCAGAGCAGGAAGCGGAGCAAAGTGTGACAGGAGAGGTGTTTGCACAGGTGTCTCCACGCTGAGGTGGGGAAACTAAGACGTGCAAACAGACATTATTGAGCCTTCTGGCTGAACGCTGCCACCTGCTGGTGAGACTTTCATTACATTTACCACAGATTTTACTGGAAGACCTTTAAAGTAGGGCCGGGTATCGTCACTGATTTCTAGAACTGATTCAATTCAGATTCACAAGGTCCCGAATCGATTCGATCCACGATTTGAATCTGGGAAATTTTGCCTCAGACAGTCAGAAATATTATAATTCAGATGATGCATCAGTACATTTCCATATGTTTATATCTATAAAAAGAAAGCTTGTGAGCATCACAGCAGATGCCTTTGTGTAAAAGTAACTGAGGAATTTTATAAAAATATTCTGCAGTAGATCAAAAACGAAAGTTTAAATATGTTCATCATTGAACAGCAGAAATGAGGCTTTGTTTTCAAAAGTAAGTAAAAGGAAAAAACAAAAAACAGCGTCCGACAGCCTGTAAACAGCTGTAGACTTGTGTGCAAGCGAATAATGAAGAAAACTGATTTTTGTTGTGAGAGAGAGAGAGAGAGAGAGAGAGAGAGAGAGAGAGAGAGAGAGAGAGAGAGAGAGAGAGCTGTCGGCTTTCAGCCCCGACCGTGTCCGTGCCGCCGGGTGAGAAAGGCGACATCTCCTTAATTCTGACCCGTCGGCGGGTCCGCACTTTGAGTTTAGCCTCTGTTTTAGCCGTTTGGTGGTTGTTGAAGTTTTGTGAGGTTTAACCTGAGATTCTGGCGTTTCGGGTAAAATAAATTTTTATTTAAAAATCGATTCAGGATTTTAATGAATCGATTTTACGTTATCCATGCTAGAATTTATTTTAATCGATAATCAAAACCCAGCCCTACTTTAAAGACTACAGAGTAATAACACTTCCTCTCTGATCTAAACATTTCAGCTCCTGTGTGTTTGTCTCACTCTTTCTCGTGGTTGACGTCTCTGAGTCTCCGCCCACTGAGGTCCCTGCAGGCCTCTCGATTGGTCGTCTTTTCAATCTGAGCGCCGAGCGCGCGCAGCATTGAACCGAACCCTAAAACACATTTCACAAGTTTCCTTCAGCTCTTCTGCAGCAGGAAAACTGGAAGCTACTTTCCGTTTACTGACCTCCTTTCCCTCCAAGGAGGCGGAGCTCCAGATGATAGACGGCTCCATGCTCCAGAGGATCGTCCAGGTGTGCCCGGCGCCCATCTCTGGTGACGTAGAAATCCTGGAAACATGAAAACTCGCTGAGATGAACCCTTCGATCATCTTCACATCCCCTGAAGCCGCGACCTTAACCTCCCGTAAACACACCTCCAGTTTATTTAATCTGGAATAAATCTAAATAAATAATTCAATGAATAAGAGCTGGCAGGAAGTACGTCATAACAGGGCTGATCCTGAGGCTCTGATTTTACGGATTTAAGTCAAAATGATTAGGGCTGCCACAAACAATTAGATAGTCGACTAGTCACCGATTATTTTTGCGACTAGTCGACTAATCGGATCATCATCCATTGGATGTAAAACGTACAGCTTATTGCACCAGCAGCATCTGCTCTTATATAACCATCATTAGCTTACAGCTTGAAGTGTTTCAGGTCTGTGCTAACTAAAAATAAAGACAAGACAAGTTTATTACATTTGAATGAAATTTGCAGATTGTTTCGGTGAAGTTTAATAAACTCCTTGCTATCTAAAATATAACAGGACACCGGAGTAAATTCTCCAGCATCTCACACTTCTGATAATCAGCTGTCTGCTTGATGTTTATTCAGCTGTGTAAAAACTTTAATCTCAGCCAAACAGATTTACTCAGGAACAAATAAAATACTAAAATAAGCCAAACAATAACATTGTTAAGTTATCTAAGTGACTCATATATCATGTTTAACCTGAGTAGCGAAAGACGGCGGTGGGTTTGAAAACGATTTGCCGGGAGTCCGGTGTTCTCACGGCTCTAGTGAGCCTAGCCCCCGGCTAGCTATCGAGCTAGTGGGTAACAGACGTATCCGAAAACGTCGGAGCGCTTTTGAAAATATGCGGTGTCCTGATAAACTGAGCAGATATTTGAGGTTTACACAGCTACAGTCTCGCCTGAACATATATTAAACGTTTATTTTGTGACCCAGAAAGAATAATAAGAGTAATCGCCTGAGCCAAGGTGTGGCTCAGGCGATTAGAGGATCATCAGGGGGTCCTTTTGTCCCTCTGTGGGGGGTCACTCCCACTAGGTTTATATCTGGGACTCTCCACCATTTGACCTTAGAACTGAAGAAGCTTCTCGGATGAGAGGTGAAACGTCTTCAAGCAACTTAAAGAAGTCCAGACGCTTTTCTTTGCAAGCTCCTTTGACTACGATGACCTGGATGACTGAGAACCTTCACAGACATAAGAGTAATATTAAAACTAACTAGCTGCCGCCATTGTTGGAAACTGAGCTGGGGTGCGCTATGAATTCTGGGACACAGCTTCTTCTTCTTCGGGGTTTAACGGCAGCTGGCATCCTTGTACATGCAGTGCTGCCATCTTCTGTTTCAGTCCGTTATTACACTCTTAAATCCTGCTACTTATTCCTGCGTCTTTTGGGATCTTACAAAGCTTCAAACGACGTGTCGACTATTAAATCAGTCGTCGACGATTTTGATAGTCGACGTAATCGTGACTAGTCGACTAATCGTGGCAGCCCTAAAAGTGATTCACCCTTTCATGCATGAATTATGACAAACTCAATCAGGATTTTTATTCATCGTTAGGAATGAAAAAATGATTTTTGAACTTCATTTTTTAAACATGTACTTTTCAAAGAGGTTCAGTGGACAACATTTTAACTTAAGAATTTGACAAACGAATAAACAATACACACCGTGTATATTGTTTATGTGCAAGTACACCATCAACACTGACACAAATACACGGAAACGGCCTTTGAATAGCTGTCCACTGTAGTGACCACTATGTGTGAAAGGGTTAAACTCGTGATTGCTTCGGCCTCCTCTGGATATAACCTGAGGTTACTGTCAGTGCTGACCTCGTTTGGGACAGGTTAATGCCGAGTTTAGCCTTATAGCTTATATGCTAACCGTCGACAGGTTGATTCTGTTCACCTGGACGTAGCGGTTTCAGTGGGAGGAACGTTTCGTCACTTTTCCAGGTGACTTTTTCACATGAGTGACGCTACGTCCAGATGAGCGGGATGTGCTTACCTGGAAGATTAAGCATGCATCAAAACACTTTATATGCTAACGTTAGCGCAGCTGCTAACACTGATACCCGGAGTGCATTTAAACCGCCTAACCCGGGCTAACTCACGCTAACCCTGGTTATCCCGGATAATTCGTCTCAGCCTCACCTCCGGAAGCGGCACGAGCCGGTCCAGGACGTGCCTGACCACAGAACCGACCGGAAACACGCAGGTAGAACCTCTGCGGCCCAAAGCGCTCACCGACACCTCCATGTTGCACAACGCTCATGCGCAGCTCTTCCGCTTCTTACTGGCTGAGTTTTTCTTCTCTGACTTAAAACGCGCGTCATTGTTACTGTACAGATGTACAATGATATACAGCGCCACCTGCTGATCCGGAGTGCACTGAGCCCACGTCACGCCACCACAACAATTCGAATTAGTGAGCTAATAATGTGATTCATGGTCTCAGTTTCATGCATTAGGTAAAAGACACAAGCGAGAGGTCAAACAAGCAGAACGTTTATAGTTTGAACTGCTTTTACATCATGGGAATGTTTTATGGTTTTAAAATCTTGTCTGGTTTCATTTATAAAGCATGCAAAATTCAGTTTTGCACTATTGTATTTATTTATTCTCATTCTTTTCTATTTCTTATTCTACTTTTATTCAAGCACAACACTGTTGGACTGATTCTTAGTTTAACTTATTTCTGTATAGCTACATATTTGAATTTGTTCATTATTTTGTTCACAGTTTGCACCTTTGATCCAGGAGGAAGATATTTGACCTCACTGTATACTTAAGTGTAAAATGTTGGGTAGAAAATAAAAGTCTACTTAGTGCTTTTTGGAGGACCACGTGACGCTTTTGCCTCTACAGCCTTCACAGGAAGTGCGCGGAGACAGAACTTCCGGTTGTGCGGTAAACATGGCGGCGCTGTGCAGGGTCGTGTCGGGGCTCCGGTATCGGGTCCGGCTCTCCCCCCGGTTCCTCCGGAACTCCTTCAGCTCGGACTCGGGCCCCGCCGAGAGCCCGATCTCCGGGTTCTCCGCCGCCTTCGACCACCAGGAGGTGCTCCGGCGGGAGACACAGAGCAACGCGGCCGGGCCGAAGGCCTCCTCTTTGGATCCGGAGCTCAGCTTCGCTGCGCTGCTTCGTCGGTCCCCGCTGATCCAGATGGGCCCAGCCAAGGACGCGGTGGTGGTGGGCAGGGTGTTCCGGGTGGTCCGCGACGACCTCTACATCGACTTCGGTGGGAAGTTCCACTGCGTGTGTCAGCGGCCGGCCGGGGCCGACGGCCTGCAGCCGGGCTCCAGGGTCCGTCTGCGGCTGCAGGACATGGAGCTCACCGCCCGCTTCCTGGGAGCCAGCACCGACACCACGCTGCTGGAGGCCCAGGCAGTGCTGCTGGGCCCGCTGGACGGACGGGAGCACCAGATCCGGGACTGAGGCTGGAACGAGGTGGACTGTGGCCCACGGGTGGAGGACTCTGGTTGTTCGTGTGCGCACCGAGGCTCAGCAGGGCCCGAAACAAGGACTGAATTAAACAGATTTTCTTATCACGTGACGTTTGACTGTGCTGAATGACCCCTGACCCCGGTCACGTGACATTGCTGGAGCTGATGGCTGCTGTCACTGTTCGTTATCATCAACACTGAAACTAACCAATCACGGAACTGTGATGTCATAACATGCAGTGTGTTTGTAAAAGTCTGTCATGGAAAAATCATTGCAGCTGTTTTCTTTATGTCTGCAATAAATAAATGTGTGATCGACGTTCAGCTCACTCCTCTCGGTTTCACACAGCTGCAATACTGAGGTGAGATGGCAGGTTAAAGGTCAGCTGATAAAGCTTCAGGTCGGGGAAGAGCAGCATCAGCAGCTCCTCACACAGGAAACGAGGCGAAGCTCAGAGAAACAGACACAACGATGCTGATCAATTACTTTATTTTTCTCCCAGCATCCATTCAACAGCTGGAAGACCCGTGATTATAGAAACTACTACCTGCACAGGTGTGCTACAATACCTGTGTGTGTGATCATGCAGGATATGAATAAGGCTGCAGAGTACTCTGATTAATATCTTTCTGCTGCATGCTTTATTGTAGCAGTACTGCAGTAGTATAGTAGTAGTACTGCAGTGTAGTTCAGTGCAGTAGAGCTGTGATGGACTGGTTCTTCCTGGAGGAGGCGCTCTGACGCTCAGGTGACTCAGCCGCACATGCTCATACAGAGCCACTGAGGAGAGAAGACACATTGACAGTCTGTGAGATTAAAGTTTGATGTGACAGATTATTTACTTTTATTTTTGTGTAATAATCACATTTATATTCATATTCATGTCCTAAATCCTCGTGACTCGCAGGAAGGAGGCGGGGGTCATTTTTCAAAGGTTTGTGCTTTAATGTGAGCGAGTGAGAATTACGCTCTGGCACAGAGGCTCAGACAAATCGTGAACCGTAAATCATCGGCTTACAAGAGATCTGACTGAGTCAAAGCATCCTTTATGCACGGCTCCTCAAGCAATGAAAAGATCGGTCCACAGTAATCTGGTTTACGCAGCAGAATAAATTTGTTATTATAAAAACAATAAATAAAATGTAGACTGGAGGCAGGAGGGGCACTTAAACACCTTTCTGCGCCTCCTGGTTCCCAAACAGAGCCGGAGGCGACCCTAACGTTTCCTGTAAAATGATCCACAAACATAGACTGTACGCTGAAGATGGAAGATACTCCACGTATGGAACAACAGGTCCATAAATACGAAAACAGTATTTACACAGAAAAATGATGCAAAACATGATTCTCATCACAGGCCTGACGGACACTGATGCTTACAGGCAACATATCAAAGACCTGCTTCCGCTCATATGAAACTAACATGGGTCTGATACTCGAGCGCGTCTAAGCTCAGTGTTTGTGGAGCTCAGAGACGGTTTACCTCGATGAGGTTCATCTCCACGGTGCCCGTCCCGTCTGTGTCCAGGTGCTGGAAGGTTCCTGACAAACACACACGGAGCAGCTCAGGACAAATAAAATGTTAAAAGGTTTATTGTGCATGTTCTCGCGGTCACATGATCAACCTACGGAACATGGCCTCCAGTTTGACGAGGCAGCAGGTGAAGTTGTCAAAGTCGATGATCTCGTTGTCGGCGTATCGAGCCACCAGCATCTGATGCAGCTTGTTGTTCAGTTTGAAGCCTGCGGACGCGACAGATCTCAGGTCAGTTTAATGCAACAGAGCACGCTCAGTAACAATGCAATACTCAGTTACCGCCATTTTCCAGCGCCAGACGCATCTCATAGGAATTCATGCAGCCAGATTTATCCAGATCGAACTCTCTGAAGATTCCCTGAAAACATGAAACCAAACTCGTCATCGCAGGACTCGATCGGATCGATCAGCAATCGGATTGAAGATTTTGTTACCCAAACATTTAAAACCCACAAAACCAGGACCTGATGGACCAGCACCGATAATCAATCGCTCAGACTTGGGGCCACTTCTTAAACTAATCAGACTGGAAGAAAAAGAGGAAAGCGATCGAAGGGACACGCGACTCGGTGCTCCGTCTCATGACAGATAAAGTTTTTATGTTTGAAATGAACTCGATATCTTTCACCTGTGAGCTTCAGGTGTTCACACTCACCAGCCACTTCCTGATCTTGTTCCAGAGGATCTGAAACTCCAGCAGCCCGAGGCGAGCGCTGCCATCTTTCTGAGATCGAGTCAAGGCCAACACGTCTTATTTCAGACATCAGTCATCAAACTTTACCTGTCCAACGTGCTGAGCGGCGAGGATACGTCCATGAGGCTGACCATGGCTCTGCAGGACTCCGTGCTGAAGCCGTCAGTCTGCAGGTCTCTGTCTGCAAACCAGACCAGATCACAACCACATCAGAGCCAACCTCTCTGACCAATCAGAAGCCTCCATCTGATTGAGGAAGACTCACGTTTGGACACGACTCTGTTGAGGATGGTCCTGAGCTCCCGCACTGAGATCTCCATGTCCTACAGGGAGGAAACAGGAAGTGAACGTCCTCGCTGTTTCTGCACGTTCAGTCCAAGAACGTTTTAATTCATGAACTCACGTCTCCAGACAGCTGAGCGAACATGGACCTGAAGGAGTCGTCGATGTCGCTCTCTGACACTTCCTCCTGCAGAGAAGAGCAGGAAGGTCAAAGGCCAAAGACACAAAGTCATAAAGCAGCCAGTTTGGTTTGTTTACCTCTTCATCAAAGTTCGCCACCACGCCGTCGTCCATCTCCCTGCAGAGTCACAGACTGTCACTGAGAGGTCTTTTATTTTGATAAGTAAAGGTGTCTAGATAGATCATGGTGAACTCACTGGCTCTCAGACTGCTTCTCTGTGAATACCCGCAGGACAAAGTCCGCCTCCTTCGAGGGTTCAAAGGTCGACGGGACAATCAGGTACTCGCCGGGCGGCAGGCGGAACCTGCCGCTCACCTCTCGCAGGTTGATGAAGGTCTCTGAGCGAGCGCAAGAGGACTGACGCAGGAAGAAGTCCTTCTTCATGTGAACGCTGGGACAGCCTCGGTGCTGGGGGACAGACCAACGCCGCCACCGTTAGCGAGTTAAAACAAAAACGGAAAAGTGAAACGGACCGGAGCGACTCACCTGTTGAGGAATCTGTGAACGAGAACAGAGGAAACGTCACCAACAGCAGAAATACAGCGTGATAACAACATCACCTTTCTGACCTCTGACCTCATAGATGGCAAAGCCAATGGTGTGCATGTCCTGGCCTTGGCGGCGGTAGCGGCGGCGGTCTTTTTGCATCAGCGCCACCAAGAAGCTGCAGGCGGCTTCTTCATCTTCGGGGTCATCGTCCTCCTCTAGCAGGGAAATTTTATACTGAGGGTTGATCCAGAAGGTGTCTGCAGGAAAGCATCACGAGTATGTAGTTATAACCAAGGCGCACACAGGTGTCAGGTGTAGCGCGGGCTCTACGCTGGGTCCTCCGCTTCTCTCTTTAGACGCTTAGATCAGGACAGAAGTTCGGCTGAGCCCCTGAAGATCATCATGTAGCATCTGCTTATCAGTGATCAACACGCCGAGCAGCGCTGTTGGTTTGAGAAACTCTAAAATCCAGATTATAAAGATGCACAAAAACTTTCATGCTGATTGGGGACTCAGTAAAAATCTGATGGACTGACTTAAACTGTGTCGGGTCCAGGCCCGCTCACTAACACACCACCCTGAAGGTACGCCAACAGTCAGAGCCACCTGGGCTCACCTGCACTAACTAATTGTTAACGTTTCCTCGCCATCGGACCATGGTCCGGAGACTGGGACGAGAGGGGTAGATGTCCTCCTTTGGGGTCAACCCCCTTCACTTTTCGCAGAGTAGTGAGGCAGGCAGAAATTATCTGAGACACCAGGAATACTGAAGAGACGAGGCTTCAATGGTAAATGGCCTGTACTTGTTTAGCGCTTTACGAGTCCCTAAGGACCCCAAAGCGCTTTACACATCCAGTCATCCACC